CTGCAGCAACAGGAATCCCTAGTAGAGGGACTTTTACTTCCACGGGAGGTGCCAATGGGGTAGGATTATGAAAAGAGGATACAGTAGCATCACGGATTCCACATGTGCACCTCTCCAGGACCTGAGCTCCTGGGCACATTGCAGAGCACCAGGAAGGTTATCCTCAAAGTGCAAGTATCTATAGGCACCTGTTCAGGTCCTTGAGTGTTACAATACTCCTTAAGGGCCTTTCCAAATTTATCCCACATTACTTTATCAAGCATTCCTGCCTCTAGAAACCATGGGCAACTCTCCATAAAAGAACACAGAAAGCTAGAAATTTTGGGGTAGGTCACGATGATCCCCTGGGCACTAAGAGTAGTCTTGATGTCTGCAGTGAGCTCTTGCTCCTCAGACTGCGGATGCCCCTGCTGACTGCCATTGAAAATTTCCTCCATCAGTCACTTAATATTAAGGCCTCTCTGCTGCTGGGCTTCCATCTTCGGAGCCAATTAATGCCTCAAGTCCCTGGTCCAGGGGTCAACTGCGTGGTCCAGCCCTTACAGAGGGTATCAGGGTAAGAGGAGGATGGAATGAAAAGAATGAAAATCAGGGTCAGGAGGTCTGAACTGCTAGTGCAGCAATTAAGTTTATTCTACTTCAAGCTTATATACAGAAAATCCTGATCCTGTGCCCAACATGTGTTCCAGTCAACTCCAAATTTTCTAGTTTCTCTGGGGATAGAATAAGTTCCAAGGGCCGAGATGATAAACAAAAGACAGTGTATTCCACAACACAGAGTCCATCCCTGGGCCTGTTGCCTGAGCTGTGGGTCAAGAAATTTGACACATTGCCATATGCTACCTTTTTATCAGTGTTCCTTCAAGGTCAAACCACTTATGAGTACTGGCTTCCAACCCCTGGACCCTTGCTGTGTCGGGTAGAAACACCTCCCAAATTCTCAACTGGACAGAATGAACAACATCCTAGAGTAATAAGGTTATCACCTCTTTCTCCCAGGTTGTAGCACTGCTAAGCTACTTAGTTAAGTTTC